CTCTCTCTCCGACTTGGGCGGAAACTACCCAAGCCTTTTGTACGGCTAGCAAGCCAATAGCTAGCCGCCACGTGTGCCTATATTAAGATCGGCCAATAATGTGGCAGAAATCTTAATACAAATGGCGGGAACTTCCTTGTACCGTGCATCACCATAATGCAAAAGAAATGCACGATGCAAAGAAAGCTACAGAACTGGCGGGAAAAACTCCTGCACGCGGGTTCTCCGTTACAACAGAACACTCCACCGTGCAAAAATGCTGTAATTTGGCAGGAACATGATTTAGCGATGCCGAAGCACAAACAAACAAGAAAAACCACAACTTTGGGTTGTGACAACTAGCACTACGGAAGAAAGAGATTTGGATCCTATGACCCCAGCTGACTTCCTGCCCTCCAGGCGGGGGGCTGGACTCAATGATCTTCCGAGGTCCCTTCCAGCCCCAATGTCTATGAAATCTATGAATCTATGAAACTCGATTCAGGTTCTGGAAGAGAGTTGCAGATCATTTCAGGTGCATCGTCTGTCCAGTTTCCATCCTCCCCACACCTTGCTAAACTTCTGTGGTTTTTAATGCCTTTTGCCTATCTGTTAATTGTTTTACCCTTTCCTTTGCTGTTGCATGGAAGACCCTCACAAACAAAGAGAAGTGACTTAGTCTCAAATGGCGATTTTTGTCACGTGGAAACAGGAAAAGTGCAAAGTGGACAACTGCCCCCAGAGAAACAAGACACCAGGTTTTCCTTGGACTGTGAAATACAGAGTAAACTGATTATACATATGCATGGGTCAATGGGTGGATGGGAATATTCTTATCTTTTTTCAGTTGCTGTGATTTTAGGGATTAGCAGTAGAAGGCTTAAAAAATGCAATGATGGTATCACTTTCCAGGAGAACTTTTAAGGGATAGTGGAGCAATCTTCGTTCTACGTTCCTGTTATTAGGATTCAGATTCTAAAAGGAAAGTTGACTGGTCACAGCCCTCCTTAAGCCTCTTTATTATCTTATGTCTGCTTAATAATCCACCCTTTTACTTTTGTTTAATAGCTACTATAAAGAAATATCTTATGACAGGCTTTCTGGACTCAGTTGGACTAATTGTTAGGAAAGCAGCTGAACGTGATTAAGGACAGCGTTCTGTAATGAACCCATTTGTTGCAGACAACAGACGTAATGACTGTGCGGACCGTGCACCCACCAGGAGATCAAAGACTAAACTCCTTGTTCTTCAGGCCTAAAGCGGAGACCTCAGTAACTTTGGCTGAAGAAAGACTCTTATACCTGCTAATAGTGGCAGGTCCTCTTTTCTTCTTTGGGCCAGGCAGGCTGGAGCAATGTCACTCACACTACACACACCATGCCAGTAGGGTGCCACCATCACTTGCTGGCTTTAAGTCTCCCCAGCATACCTTTCCAAAAGCTAGGCTGTAGCTTGGGCCTGATATCTGAATAACTTCCTAGGTAAAGTTCTGTGGCCCACACGGTGCTGGATGCTGGAGGAGGTAATCATTATGGCCTCTCCCAGGCTCTGTCAGGAGTTCACTATGACTTGGGACAAGTCCCCTTCCTCACTGCTCCTCAGCTTCCCCATCTGTAAAATGGAGCCAATGGGATCCCCCTAGTCCAAGTGTTGTGTGGTCCAGACACTGGTTCTTTCCAAGCTCTTTGGGATTCCTAAATGGGAGATGCTTTAGGTCTTCACAGTAGCTAGGCAGGGTGCCTGCTAATCACAGCTTGTGGGCGATGCCTGCCGTGATGCTTGCCCACCCTCTTGCTCCTGTTCCCCGATACAAAATCCTGGAAACGGGTCAATGACGCTGCCTTGGGGCAACCCTGAGTCCGTGCCAATAAGCACACCCAAGACAGAGCGCTGCAAGTAGTGCTGGCCATGCGCTCAGGGCCTATCCAGGGAGGCTGTCTCACCTCACATCCAGGATTTGAGGAGTGCTAAAGGGCCTTTTTCTGCAGCTTGTAGATCAGCTGGGAGTGAGTTCAGTCCCCACTGCTCCCCCAGCAGCTGTTTGGGGACAGTGGTGGAGTGGTACATGGAGGCAGATCTGTGCAGTCTTGGCTGTCATGCAGGTTGATTTTCTGATCCGGCTTTTGCTTCATGTAGGGGGGCTGGAGGTGGTCTGAAGGCAGCTGGGTGGCACTGAGGATAATTTTCCTCTTTTCCCAAGGCCTTGGCTTGTTTGCTCCCACATAACTGCCAAACACTAGCTGCCTGGGTGTGGAGGTGGGCGAGGAGGGAAGAGATAACCACAAGGTCTCTGCTGGGCATTGATTCGGCCGTGGGCAGGAGGAGGGAAGCGCCAGTGCTTGAGAACTCCCTTCTCACAGGAAGCCTTGCCAGATAGTCTGGCCATTCGGCTTGCACCGAGGCCTTCCCAGCCCACAGGATGCCATTAGGAAGCCCTTCGGACTGGGTCTTGCTGCCCCTATGAGGGCAAAACCCCCGATGACCTTAATGACTGCCAAGTCACACACTAAGTCAATGTTTGGTTGGGCCATGACTGCAAGGTTTCACCAGCCAATCCTTCAGGGCTTCAGACCCAGCCAAGGCTGCGGCACAGCAAGACAGGAGGGTCTGACTACTGAGTGCTGCCTCTGTGACCCGTGCTAGCCTCCGTCAGCCAGCCCCAGTCCCTCCTCTCCCTCTGCTCTTCGAGCCGGGGGAGACACAGGCCGTGCTGGTGAGCAGCGATCTGGGGCCTGGGACTCCTCCCGGGGGCAGCTGAAAAGGTGGGCAGCCTGGCAGAACATGCGGCCGGTGGGGAAGCAGTGGGAGGAGGCAGAAAAGGAGGAATTTGGGGGCTGGGAGAGGAGAAGCCACTGGGAGTGCACCAATAAGCTCTCCTGTGAGAGAGTTTATCAGCACATGCCCAATGCCACACTAAGGCAGCTCCATCAACACTGATTTGGGGACATAATGGGTGCAGGGAGGGTGACGCAGGGCTTGCTGTGATGCTCCCTGGTGTGATTTGTTGGTGGTACAGACCCGTTCCAGGACGCAAAGACCTTCTCTACATTGCTGTGATGGCAGTGGTGGAAGGGTGGGGAAGACTGAATGCACCCTGCCCAGGCCCCATCCACCAAGCCTTCCAGTGAAGCTATCCTGGACACGTTCTCAGTGACTGCTCTCAGTCCCACAGGAAGGGCTCAAGAGCAGGCACAAAGGGATGAGCTGAGAGCAGCATCACTGATGTACTTCCAGGTCTAGAGCAAGCCAGTAGACTTGGGTGAGTGGGACACGGATAAGGCATGTACGAGTCAATGGTGGCAGAGCTCACCTCTGGCATAGAAAAGCCCCAAGAGGTGTTGCAGACCTGGGCAGGGAGAGGGACCTGCAGGAAACCTTCCCCAGCATGCATAGCCCAGCAGCAGCAGGGTGGGGAACCAATCTCCAGCTCCTCCAGCCCTGCCAGGGTTTCTTTAGAAAATTGCCAGTGGACAGTGGTGCCCGCTGGGAACTGCATGAGGAGGGTCTGCAGGTTTGGAGTCCTAGACATGAAATTGCATTTGCACTCTCTCCTCCCCTCCCTCCCCCTTCTGTACCTTGGGAGTTTCTGAAGGGTTAATGCATTCAAAGTTATTCCAGCTGTTTTATATATTCTGCATGTGACACTAGTAATGTATTCCTAGCCTGCCAGAGGAATTGTCTCTCCTTCCCTGGGATTTCTCATGTGGATGATCTCTTGGAACCATTTAAAAGAGGAAATGTCGTACAGATAAAACTCCTAGGACACTGTTACTATCAGGTTTTCCTTTGGGGCGTAGGCTTTTTGCTTTCAGATTCCCTTTTGAAGCATAAGCAGCTTGTGGGGGAGCGATGGAGGCCTTTGACAGAAGCAAAGTGCATTTGATAATGTTCTGGGAGTTACACGTGAGCATGCAGCCAGTGCGTAGAAGAGGTGAAAGCTTAAGGATTTAGACAACCCTAACCCACCTCTAAACCCAGTTGGAGGCATGAGTGCTCTGCACCCACCTGTGTCATTGCTGATACTTGACTGGTAACCCTGGTAGCTAGCAGTGTCTCCCCATTGCTACAGGTCAATGCAGGCACTTGGTTGTCTTCCATCTGGGTGTACAATGTGATGGGACCGCTTACCCATGCCACCCTTGGCCAGTCCTCTCCCCTCCTAGCAGTAGGATGGGGCATTTCAGGACATCCCAAATGGGTCTCTGCATACACAGCAGTAGGTTTGCTCTCCTGTGCTGAAGCAGCATGTTATAGCTAAACAGGACAGTGTCATGAGTGTTACCGTGGAATATAGGACAGGTAGGGACCTTCTGAGTCATAAGGACCAGCCCTGTGCTATTGCAGACAACCATGTCATGTAGTCCCTGGCACGATAGAGAGGAGGCTGGTCACAATGTGATTGCATTAAAGTGATTGCATAAAGGGTGCGTCCTTGTTATTGTTACTCCTTTGAAATAATAATGTCAATACTGATGGGTGCCTAGCAAAGCATGGGTTCTGCCCCAAAGGGCTTGGCCAACCACTCAGATGAGAAAAGCTGGGACAATAAACTGGTCATGGAAGAATGCAGGAGGCATCAAGAAATGAGGGGATCAAAAAAAAAAAGGATTCCTGGAGGAGGGATATGAAGGAGGAGGGAGGGCAGTTCATGGATAAACAGCGGGAGCCTGTCCCAGAGATCGGTAACAGCCTGAATGGGGCAGGGAGATGAGAATGGGAAGAGGAGACAAAGGGAGAGAGGGCTGGGAGGACCGTAGTGAGCAGCTGAGGCGGGTGAAATCCTGGGCAGCTTTGAGGGAGCATGATTGTGAGGTGAGAATCGGTGCAGAGGAATGGACACGTTTGTAGGATCAGGAGCCGCTTATGACTGTGTCAGCAGTGTTTTGGAAAGAGAAGTGGGAAGCTGGGGACTGAAGAGAAGATCACAGAGAGCAAGGGCAGAGAAGGCCACGTTGTGCAGCTCTGTAACCTCACTTAGACACTGTTATCTAATTCCTCACTGTGTTGTGGTCTCTTCTAGGGCTCTACATGAGAATATGGCCGATGGCATTGAAGATCTTATTGGGATCCCATTCCCAAACCACAGCAGCGAAATCCTGTGTGGCTTAAACGAACAGCGGCACGATGGCCTGCTCTGTGACGTCATCCTCATTGTCCAGGACCAGGAGTACAGGACCCACAGGTCTGTTCTTGCTGCCTGCAGCAAGTACTTTAAAAAACTCTTCACTACCGGCACTTTAACAGACCAGCCCTATGTTTACGAGATTGACTTTGTCAAGCCTGAAGCACTTTCTGCCATCCTCGAGTTTGCCTACACTTCAACTCTGACCATCACCACCTCAAACGTCAAGCATATCCTCAACGCAGCCAAGATGCTGGAGATCCAGTGCATTATCAATGTATGCCTTGAAATCATGGAGCCTGACAGAGAGCCGGAAGAGGACGATGATAAAGAGGATGAAGATGACGATGATGAAGAAGATGAGGATGAGGAAGAGGAGGAGGAGGAAGAGGAGGAAGAAGGGGAAGATTTTGTGAATCAGGAGAACCTCACGGATGTCCAAGAAGTCAGCTGCCACCAAAGCCCGTCAAAGTCTGATCTTACCGAAGCATACACAGAAGCACCTAGTGACTTTCCAAACCATTACCCAGCCAATAGCTCATCTGGACACTTAGGTGTGATACGAGACTTTTCCATTGAGTCGTTACTTAGGGAAAACCTGTACCCTAAGGCAAACATGCCCGACAGGAGGCCAGCTCTATCTCCTTTTACCCCAGGCTTCTTTCCCCATTTGTGGAATGGAGATTTCAGTCCCTTTCCCCAGCTGGAAGAGCAGCAAGTGGACAACGGCCCTTTGGACCTGGTGATCAAAAAGAGGAAGATTAAGGAGGAAGAAGAGAAAGAAGAGCTCCCTCCAGCTCCTTTCCCCAATGACTTCTTCAGGGATATGTTCACCAACAACCCTGGAGGTCACTTAGGCCACATTAAAGCAGAGAATGACTATAATGCTTATCTCAACTTTCTAAGTGCCGCCCACTTAGGAGGAGTCTTTCCTCCCTGGCCCCTGGAGGAAGAAAGGAAGATCAAGCCCAAGGCGTCTCAGCAGTGTCCGATCTGCAACAAAGTCATCATGGGGGCCGGGAAGCTGCCACGGCACATGAGGACTCACACCGGGGAAAAGCCGTATATGTGCAATATCTGTGAAGTTCGCTTTACCAGGTGTGCACTGATCCTTACTGCCAGCTGCAGCAGAGCGGCCTCATGGGAGGTGGATAGGGGGAGGAGGGGAGGGCGTGCCGTGGTGAAGCACCGGTGGATGTATTTAGTCTAGCAGTATTGACTGTGGAGTATGAAGCAGGTTGGCACGTGGCAGGGTAGGGGCTGGAACGAGAGGAAGCCTCAGTGGAGCAAGCAGTTCCACAGAGACACAAACATTTAAGCAATGTCTCCTTTGCTGTAGAAGTAAAGTGAATTGCAAGGAGCTACAGGCCTGATTTAAAGTCCTCATTGCAACTCCCATTGCTCTCAGTGGTTTGGGATCAGGCCCTGTCTTGCTAAGATAACAACTTATCATCCAAGAGTTAAATAAAGGATGTAATGTTTCCAGCTAGATCACAATTTACCACAGTGAATCAATGGCAGAAAGACAGGCCTGACCACAGCCAGTGGAAAAAAATCAATGGAGGTTTCTAGGTAAAACAAGCAGCGGAAGTACATACATATACATGTAATAGGAAATACGCTGTGGGTAAACTAGCGTATTTTCTCTGGCACAATGTTTTGGGTAGGAGGGTGGGCCATGATCTGCTAACACATGTTTAAGCATGACTGTCTGTGTCCACCCTGGGGCCAAAGTCATGCTCTGAGTATTATGTGCCAGTTACAAAGACTTGCGAGGATGGTGCATTCTTCCCGGGGGATGAGGTTGAAGTCTGCAAGCTAAATCCTATGTTGATGTCCGGTCTCTGCAACTCTGGGGCCTTCAGTAGGGCTCCTCTCCCCCAAGCCAGTGGGAATCAGCTGGGGTGCACTCAGAGCAGGATACACACGCACAACACTGTGCAACCCTTCTCTCAAAAGGTTGGCAAATGAAATTGGTGAGCAGCAACAAATGGTTCAGCACTTGCTGGGTACAATTAACATCTAACAAGTAAAATCTCGGCCATAATGGCAAAGCTTTCTGATGAGAGCTCAGCATTTGAGCTGCTGCCTGTGAAAGAGAGTAAGCCCTATTGGACTTGGCAGAGTGAACTATTTGAAAACACGGTGCACAGCCGGTGAAGCATAGCACCTGACAATGGGCAGATACCTGGGGCGCTCCTGCATCACGCCCGCCTTTTCCTCTCTTGTTCCTGTGATAATATTCAAATGTAATTTATGCAGATGAAGGGGATTTGACCTGAAAATAAATTTCCATGCTAGGCTCCATCAGCCCAGCTTATACCGCATTACAATGCACTGAGTGTCCTGCCTCAGGCTACTGCATACAACATGATCTGGCTAGCCCTGGTGTTTAGAGGGAATGGCTGATACCTGGTATTAATTAATGACTGGGGATAATTTGTGCCTGCTTTCTGAGTTACCCCACACCTATTTGCATGAGGGCTGGTGCTCAGAAGTGCTAGATCAGCTCAGTGAGAGGCAAGGATTTCTTAGGCTGATCTCTTTTATTGGACCAACTATGTAGTTGGGATAAAGTCAGACAAGCTTTTGAATGTCAGTCATTCTTTTGCACCATCACAGCTTCAACATCCCTCTAACACTACCTAAATCAGCTCTGGACATAGACAGTCATCATTCAGCCACCCAGCAGGGAGCAACAGTGCAATGGGCCTCAGCCCTCACTTGGAAGGACTGTTTTGCAGGGAGTAGCTATGTGGCCCTGCCTCTGCCTGCTAAGCAGTTGGCCAGCTGCATTGGTGAGGCCACTCGCAGCAGGGCCAATTACTCCGGGGTGTGGCGGTGTGATGGATAACTGCTAGTAGGGAAATTAACTTCGCTGATGAATTGCAGACCCACCCCACCTAAGCCAGTTACTGATGGTAAGGATGATAATACCGGGCTCTTTCCTTCACCAAAACCTCCAAGATCCTTCCAGAGGGAGTTGGGGTTGCTATCCCCATTTTCCAGGGGAGACAAATAAGGCACAGAGAAGGAAAGTGAGATGCCCAAGGTCCGCTGGTCAGTCAGTGGCAGAGCTGGGCATAGAAGCCAGGTTAGTTGAGTCCCAGCCTAGTGTTTTGCCCACTAGGCCACAAAAGGTGGAAAGCTCCCTAATGCAGCTCCTCTCTCTAGTCCTCTTCCTGGGCCCACAGCATCTTCCTTTTGAACCACACACATACGCATGAATATGCATAGTCTTTGCCCCAAAGAATTTATAATCGAGGGGCTGAATTTGGTAGAGGTTCATGCCTATGCTTTACCTTAAACATCAAGGGCTCCCATCAGCTTTCTTGGGCATATCCATAGCAGAAGAACAAGCTATAAAAGTCTGTGCCGGGTCTAGGACTAACTGAAACTTGGCTCTATCCCAGGAGCATGACACCATGGAGGGTGTGGAAGGACAGATTGAAGGAAGATCACACAGTTACATGTTCCCCGTGAACCTCTCTTGGTGCTCCAAATCATGTGACCGTGGCCATTTTTACCAAGGAAAAAACCTTTCACACCTTAATTCACTGGCATGATTAAGAGCTGCTGTCGTGTTGCTTCTGCAGCAGGTGCTAAAGGATTTCGGCTCTTTTGCTCCTGACAGCTGTTGCTCTGAATAAGTCACGTGTATTATATTATACAATCCTGCCATCCCGCTTGTTTCTTAGGCATCCTGGTAGGTTAACAATTACCTAAAAACTTTTCAATTAGATGACAGGCAGGGCTGGGGGGTTTGCCTATTATTAAGATTGCCCACCACTTCTCATTGGAAGTGATGTTTTCGGTTCCTTATAACCCTGCCAGATCTGGGCTGAGTTTTTCCAGGCCTGTCGCCTTGCTCAGTGTGGCTCAGCCGTGTCTGAGAACAAGGCAAGGGGAAAATAGGTTGTTTTGCCCACGTCCCAAAACTTAGCCGGTTTTCTCTGAAAAGCGTTAGCACCCTCTAGAGGGGGGACTTAGGATTTAGCCACAAGGAGGCCTTTGTGGCACGGAAGAATTTTTTTTCTGTCCTGGTGAAAATCCACCCAAATTTGGTCAAGTTGCAAGCCTCTGAAAACCTGAACTTTGTGTGCGCGCAGTAGAGGCTGCTTACATATTAGCAGTTCAATTCCCTGAAGATGCTGCCTGCACTGCATTCGCTTCAGCCTGGGGCTGTTCAGATTTTGACTGCTGTGCTGCAGTCCCTGAGAGTAGGGGGACATGCTCTCCTGTGCTGTTAGTGGCCACCTCCCACCAGGGACGAGAAAACCTCCTGATTTAATGGGAAATCAAGCTTTTGGCAATTAGGAAATGGCAAAATTAAGGTGACTTGTGCCTCCCCTCCCCACCATGCATATGCACTATGGTACTGGCCATTGTCCCAGGGCATTCAGTGCCCAAGATGGACTTGCTTTGGCAGTGGAGTAGGACCGTGCAGTGAAGATCGGTCTATCAGACCAGCACTTGCAAAGCTGGAAGGTGTGGTGTGGATGGGGCAGAGGGCTGCAGACAGAGAAAGGGTAACCTGCTGGTTCAGGCTTTTATCTTGCCTCTGCCATAGCAGCTCTGTGACGCTGGACAACTCACACCAGCTATACTTTTTGCAGGTGCTCACTAAGTAGTCGGTTCTCATTTTTTTGGGTGCCTGACTTGAGACCCAGAGGTCCGACCTGCAGGACTGCTGAGTACTCCCAGCTGCAAGTGAAGTCTGCGGGAGCTGGGGTTTGACCCTCCTACATGCTCTACAGCACTTAGTACACTGACTAAATGCCTTAGGGTCTCAAAATGGGCATTCAAAATTGGTAGTGACTTTTGACCTTGATTTCTGCTGGCCTTCGTGTCCCACCTGTAAAATGGAGCTAATTATAACCCCCATCTCAGAGGGGCATTGTGAGAACAAATGTATTGATGCTTTATATGAACACAGATACCATCATGATGAACCCTTTAGAAAAGCCCATAGGGTAATTTATAACTGTCTTCAGAGCAGGGTTTGAATACCATGCCTGGGACCACACACACAGGACTACAGATAAAACAAAAGTACTGGTTTAGCTGCACATTCACTGAGCACTTTCCGCTGTGGGCGCTGAATGAAGTACTCAACAAACAGCGTGGGATCATGCCATTAAAACTGGCCCCTGAAGCATCCACACAAAGGGGCAGAATTAAGGTAGCATGAACAACCTTAGGTCTGGATTTCCTAACTTTTGAATGCTTGGCTTTGCAGTCATATCATGTTGGGGATGCATGCATGCATGCATGTGTATAATATGCTAAAATCCTTAGCCCTGTTACAAGTAAAATCGTATATAAATGAAACAGGAAGCATGGCAGAGATCAGATTTGATTTTGGCTGCTCCGTTGGCTGCTTACTTTCCGCATGGATCTGTGGTTGGACAGTTGAAGTAACTTTGTCAGTTTTTATGTTAGCAAGAGTTCATAGCGAGTTCACTTTTTAGGAGCTTATGTGCGAGGGCAGGGGTGGTCAGCCCATGGCACAAGCAGCATGCGATCAAGGAGGGGCCTGGCAACACAGCAGCAGACAGGGCAGGAAGCAGAAAGCAGAGAGCTGATGAAGGCTGGGAGCTCAGGGCTAGGAGCAGAAAGCAGAGCAGGAGATCAGGCAGGGGAAGGAGACTGAAATGGTAATTGGGGAAGGTGCAGGGCTAATTTGTGGCTGCCAAAAAGGTCCGTCGTGTCCGTTCCCACCCCCCGTTCTCAGACATGGCTGCAGTATTGGTAGTTGCAGATATTTCAGGGGAATCTTTAATCATTCACAGAAAATCAATTAGAACTGTTTAATTCTAATATCATTTAATTCTAATAGTTTTTAATGAGTGTTCGCAGAAATATTTCTAGGGTTGTGGATTTTTAAAAAAATTATTTTACAAACAAATGGCACTTGGCTTATGCTCCTTTCCTTTACAAGCCTCCTCTACTCTGTATGTGGAACTGCACAGTCACCTTAAAGTGTTCAGATAGTTGTGTCAGCCTCTTAGCATATCACCGTGAACAGTAATTGGTATAAAAAGACAACCTCAGATACTGCAGCAGCTCCAAAGTCTTAACCTGTTCTGAAGAGAAGCCAGGGTTTTTTTTAGTGATGTCCTTTATTGGGCTGACTGAATAGTTGGGAGAGATGTTAGATAAGTTTTGGGCTTCTTCAGGTCCCAGAAGCTGATCTCACATCTCTCTCAAATATCCAGTCGGTCTAACAAAAGACATCACCCCAAAAAATCTTTATTCTTGAGTATTTATTTCCTGGGCCAGCGCAGCTACAATACTCCAGCCCTACAGTGTTGGTCATTTTTCAAACGAAAGCTTGCGAGACATCTAGTGTTCAGTGGAAGTATAAGCCAGAAGGGAAGATGAGCAGTGAATCGTTTAACCAGCAGCACTGCTGTCTCCCAAATCATGCTGTTTCCTACAGCATATCCATGTGGGTTTGGAGGGAGGGAAGTGGTTGTATTTTCCTTTGCTATATTCCAATTACAGCATTTGTTTTGAGCTCTTTGGGACTGGATGCAGGATCCCAAAGTGGTAGGAAGTGTGTGCGGTGTGGAGCCGCATGTGATATCCCTCAAAAACGACATGTCCTAAATGTAAAACATGGTCTATGCTGGAGCAGCTTGGGTAGCTTCCAGGGACATCATGGGCACTCAGTCCCTGGGCCAGACCCAGCATTGACAGATTTTAACCTCCCTGATCTCCAGTGCTGAAATCTCCATTTCATGTAGAAAGGGGGACTAGGCTCCTGTCAGAGACAGCCCTCATCTGCACATTAGTAGGAGCATTGCCAGCAGATTGAGGGAAGTGATGATTCCCCTCTATTCAGCACTAGTGAGGCCACATCTGGAGTCCTGTGTCCAGTTTTGGGCCCTTGCTACAAAAAGGATATGGACAAATTGGAGAGAGTCCAGTGGAGGGCAACAAAAATGGTTTGGGGGCTGGGGCACATGATTTATGAGGAGAGGCTGAGGGAACTGGGCTGATTTAGTCTGGAGAAGAGACGATTGAGAGGGGATTTAATAGCAGCCTTCAGCTCCCTGCAGGGGGGTTCGAAAGAGGATGGAGCTGGACTGTCCTCAGTGCTGGCAGATGACAGGACAAGGAGCAATGGGCTCAAGTTGCAGCAGGAGAAGTTTAGATTAGATATTAGGAAAAACTTTCTCACTAGGAAGGTAGTAAAACAGGTTATTCAGAGAGGTTCTGGGATCTTCATCCTTGGAAGTTTTTAAGACCCAGCTAGACAAAGCCTTGGGTGGGTTGATATAGGTGGGGATGGTCCTAGTTTGAGTGGTGGGTTGGACTAGATTACCTACTGAGGTCCCTTCCAACACTTGTTTTCTGTGATTCTGGATTTCTAGGGATCCACACTGGGCATACCTTCCAGGAACAGCCCGCCATCACTGAGCCCTTACCTATTGCGAGCCTGGGAGATCGGAGATCAGGACTTGAACCTGGGCTAGGTCCACAGCCCTGTCATTAGGACGAGGCTGCATAAGCCCCTTCATGAGGGCTGGATCATGCAGAGATGAAGGCTCCCAAGCCCTTCTGGGAGCAATTTAGTGCTACACAGGATTGGGCCCAGAAGGTGCCCAGTGCTGACATAGACTGGTACTTCTAGTGGTCTCGGGACTTTGTGGCTGTGGGAAATCTCAGCCGTGCAGTTCAGTGAGGGCACCAGGGAAAGGGCTGCCCACATTGCACCTCCCGTATGGCTAACAGGACTGCATGCTCCTGTACTGGGAACCTGGCTTCTTTCCTCTGCCCCAGCTTCCCAGTGTAAAGAGGGTGTGAAAGCTCTTCTGTGCTTGGGTTCAGTGCTTGCTCATTTGGGCTATGTTTGAGGCTCTTGAGGGGGACCAAGCTGGAAGGCGCATGAGGAATTTCACGCTTCCCCCTTGCATGTTCTGCAAAAAGCCCTGCTTCACTGCAGTTCCTCATTTGTGGTAGGACCTTTCTCTTCCTTCAGCTACAAAGGGCGTAGGAAGCAGGGGGAGTGCTAGGGCACTGGCCCCTGGAGCAGTAAGACCCAGCTGAAGAAGCAGATTGTGCCATTCCCCTACCTGAACCTCCCATGGTGTGATTCTGCGCTGGTGCCCAGGGGATAAATGCCAGCTCAGTCTCAATGCAGACAGCCACGTGAAGGCCAGTGGGCAGAGCTTAATGAGGATGCTGAAAGGAGCTGGGCTTAAGGAGCCCATTACAGCTGGTGTTATGAGACCTTCTCCTTGGAGTAGATAGATGGGAGCATATGGAGCATCCAGGATTGATCTAGGCTTGTCTCGACAGGAGAGTTGTGCTGGTATAAAGATATAGATGTGAACTGATATAGTTGTACCAGTTATAGATACAGCTCCCCCCCATACACAGTGCTATGCCAGTAAAATTATCCAGCAGTTAAACTGTACCAGGATAATTATACTGGTACCGCTACATTAATACCATTACACTGGTTGAGGCAGACACTGCCTGTCTGAACAAGTGCTAGCACTACAAAAGCTTGTCTGGCTGGTGGGTCTGGAGCACAGTAAGGGCAGGGACCATAATGCAGGAGCATCGTTTGTACCAATGCTGCTGTCAGGCTTACATCCCAAGGGGCTCAGTGCCTTGGTTTCCACAGCAGCCTCTTCAGCAGAGGTCAGCGTAGCTGCCAAGCAAATGATAACAGACGCCTGCCTCTTGTTTTGTAGGCAGGACAAGCTAAAAATCCACATGCGGAAGCACACGGGGGAGAGGCCGTACCTCTGCATACACTGCAATGCCAAATTCGTGCACAACTACGACCTGAAGAACCACATGCGCATTCACACCGGGGTGCGGCCCTACCAGTGCGAGTTCTGCTACAAGAGCTTCACCCGCTCCGACCACCTCCACCGCCACATCAAGAGGCAGAGCTGCCGGATAGCCCGGCCCCGGAGGGGACGCAAGCCGGCGGCCTGGAGGGCGGCGAGTTTACTGTTTGCACAGAACAGCCAGCCAGAAGAGAAGGGCTTCATGATGCCGCCCACTCTGGAAGAGATGAGCAGCCATCTCGGCAGCGCGGCCATGTGCCTTCCCGGCCCCAGCCCCAAGCACTTTATGAGCGGGGCCAAGTCTGCTCTCAATCTGCAAGAGCTGGAGAGCCAGTTTGAAGAAACCCAAATGAAGCTGTTCGGGAGGACGCACCTGGACATGGAAAGGAATGGGGGCATCTTTGCCTTTGCCCTTGGCCACAACGACAGCCTCTCGGCGCGGCCCTATTTCCCTCTGCCAGACCCGTGGAGCACAGGATTTAGTGGCCTGGCTGGCCTAAACCACCTAGCCCCAATTTCTGAAGCTAGCAACTAAGCCCTTTCCTGTCCAAGCGATGGGTTTGCTGTAGTCTGCACCGTCCGTAAAGAGCAAACGATTGCCCTCCACTTCTGATTCTCACCTGTCTCTCCGCGTCTCGCTCCGATTGCTCGCCCGCGCTGATCTAGACTACATCCCGGGACTTCAGGCAGGTGTGGGGCTCAGAGCCGCGCATGAGCAGCCTGCGGCCATTCTTCTGAGTTGGAGATTGCTGCTGTTGTTCTGTGACGGATGCTTGTTCAAGGGAACCTGGGTTGGGCTTATCAGGGACTCCACCACTGCCATTTCCTCAGACCGCCCTTTTACAGACCATGCCTAGGGCGCTCGGCTCAGAGTCGGATGAGGGTGTCACTAGCTGCCGGTGATCAAGCCCCCCACCACGGATACAGCGTCTCTTTGGTTAGCAGAATCCAACACTGAAGAGGTGAGAAAGATCCAGCTCCAGGGTGGCTGGATTGCTACCTGCTTCTGAAAATGTCCCCTGCCCGTGCTTGGAGGTCGTTGTCATCTCCATAAGGCACCTTTTCGGAGGGACACTCTCTTTGTTGCCCATTCACTACGGCAGATGCTCAGCTGGAGGCTGATAAACACCAACACATTTTTTGCCACCTTCACATTACTTGACCCTTTTGGTCCCAAAGGATTTTATTTTAAATCCTGCAACCAAATGGCATTTCTTTCCCCCTAAAAGGCCCTCAAAATTCCTCTTAGTGCAAATCAGTTCAGCTTGTACCAGTGAATAGCACCGAGGATCCAGTCCATGTATTTGTCAGCCGTGGCCAAGATGACACATCTGAACCCCTTGACAGAATTGTGCTGATATCATGGTGCATGTGATAACCTGGGAACACAAAGGGAAAAGATTAAATTTTGCTCAGGAGTAGAGCTGGGTGAAAAATGAACTTGTGGGTGGCTATTCTTAGCCATTCGGGGGGAGAAAAATCTCTTTGGGAATGAAAACAATCATCAAGATGTTTAGCCAATGAAAAGTTTGGGAAAAAATAATTGTGGGTGAATCAAAACATGTAATTTTTAACAAAATGGACTTGTGGGGGGGGGTGTAAAAAGAGATATGTTTAATACACTCTGAGGAAATCTTAAATTTGAAATTATTTCCACCCAAAAAGGGCCACCTGTTTCATTGGGAAAATGGGAGTTTTGAATTTTCTGGTTTTATTTTAAAACAAAACACTTGGTGAAACGATGGTGAAACAAAGACTGAATCCACACTTTTCGCAGGAAAACAGAGTTCTGGGCAAATTCTTTTTCACAGCTCTACTCAGGAGATCCCCCTGTAAAAGATGATACTAAAGAGTCCCTAAACCAGCCTGTCAACAGGCTCTAGTAGAAATTGTATTTCTTCAGAGTTTGTCAGTTCAGAAGATGGAGTTTAGCATACAAAATATGAAATACTCAAGCGAATGAGGCCATTGCTAGGAATACGTGCCCACATTCCCCTTTTAAGCAGTGGTGATAACTTCATTTTAATAGTCTGATGACCTGCAGGAAGCTAGTCCAGAGACTGGTTTTAAATTGAACCAGGACTCAAAAATGTCAATGTTAAAGATGAGGGCATTCTCTCTCCTTTATTATTATCTTTCCATTTCAGTAGGATCAAAGGGAAGAACCATAGCTTGCTTTTTCAGCATTCAGTTTATCCTTCGATGGTGCTGCTTGAGAGTCACGGTTCGGTGAGGGTCTCACTACTGGCGCACTGATGTTCTTACACTCATGGGCCAAAATGAGTACGCTCTTCAAAGTCATCCTCCCTTTGCATCCCCTTGTCGGCAAATACTCCAGACACAAACGATTCCTCCCTGGTTTGGGAACATGCTGATCCCGATGAACTGCTTGATCCTATTTTTTCCCCACCAACCCTCCAAAAATAAATCTGCAAAGACTCTGTGCAACAAAGAGGTGGGAAAGGAAAAGAAGACTTTTTAAAACTGCATCAAACCTTTTTTTTTTTTTTTGTACATGTACCGAGTTCTTATACCGACCACGTTTTGCAGACAGCCGGTTACTTCAGGTGTTCTTTGTCTACGATTTGGAAGCATTGTAAAGTATCCAAAGATGCTGAGTACTGTATAATCTACAAGAACTTGAAGCAAGGTGTTGTTTTTTTGGTTTGGTTTTTTCTTTTTGTTTTGTTTTGGTTTATTTTTTCCTCCTATTTATCCGTGGGGGGAAAAAAAAACTTTGGAATTTTTCTATTTATAACTATTTTTATGTGATTGCTTTCTGTACAAAAAAAAAGACAAAAAAGAGACACACAAAAACAAGTTTGCCTTAGTTAATCATGGGACAATCATCCTTAACTGTTGTTGAAACTATAGATTTGAAGAAAAAACAAAAGACTAGATACTTTTATGTATTTATTAAACAGTGTTAATTGATTCTCTTAAATTATTAGTGAGACCTGGTCCTTTTTTGTGTGGCAAACACTAGCTGAAAAGTTGCAGAAGTTTAACTACATCTGTGTCGGTTTGCAGAATATACAAATTTGGCACTTTCCAAAGGCTTTTTATAAGATAATCACTCCTTATTTAATTGTCTCGCTGTAATCTTTCTGGTAAAGGAAACCATTTTTATTATTCTTCCTATTAACAAGTTAAGGTTGATTTTCCCTGAATGAGCTTTTTTTCTGGTTGTATGTAGTTGGCTGATGGCTGAGATCACTTCATGGTGAGAGGAATATTTCTAACCCTGTTTCTGCCTTGCAGTTTCTTTACATTTCAATGTTGTTGCAGTGGTGTCAGGCCACAGGTATCTTGTACTGGTGCTCATACGTGTGGGACGTAGGAGGAGCAGCCGCCTCTGCGGTTCTCCAGGCCCCTTCCTGAATTGAACCGTTTCACCCTACTCACATCAATTTTAACACTTAATGAGCTTTTTTTCAGTTGTTCCCTTAAGTATTGGAGGTTACTCACATTGAAACCCTCCTCATTGCGATGGTTTCATTCCTGATTTACGCTGGTTCTAAGCACAGAATCAGTTCTCCAAGGAAATTGGGTTTGATTTGTCTCAGCTACTGGTATGATGGCATCCTCTTCCTCTTCCCATCATGATTAATTAGGCCTCAAATTCAGCAGAAACTTAAGCATGTGCCCAACCTGAAGCTGTTGAATAGTGCCATTGATTTCAGGGGCTATAAATCTTGCTTCACCTGAGAACTATGTAGCTCTCAATTTTTCTAAAGAAGTCCAGAAGCTGGGGAAGTGGGACCAAGTCATTAAAAAATCAAAGCTCGGTTTAATGTTCCTCATAAAAGTACTAAGTAGAAACGAGGCAGGAAACCACATGTTATTCGCTCCCGCTGGTTGGGCCCCATGTAATTCACTTTGAGATCCCAGATGTTTTGAGTAGTCAGATATTCAGCTAATCACATCAAATGCTAAGCCCTGCTTTTGGCATAATAACAAGCTTCACAGCTGGCTTCAGGTAGCTATAAACTGAGAGGGAACAAGCAAAGTAATGCGGTTATATTGTCTGTTATGGCAACCGTGATATCCTGTAAGGTACGGGCAAACCACACGCACACGGCTCGTTGGCACTGCGTTGGAGGTCTTGAAGGGCACGTGGCAGTTGTACCGTGAGAGGATGTCCTTCTGAAAATCTGGCCCTGTAAACGTTAAGGGACAGCACTGCAAAGGGCTGAGTGCCCTCCTGCTGTCCGGCTCACAAACCATAGGGAAGAGCAAAATGATGCCCCCTTCTTTCCCTTCCTGTCATGCACCAAATGCAAATGACCTTCAAAGTGCTTCATTGGATACCAAGGTAATAAAATCTTCACGCATACCTAAGTGGCTCAGGATCCTCAGTCCCATTAACTGCACGGGGGAGTTAGGCTCCCAAGGTATGTCTGTGCTGGCTTGTGCCACCTCTGGGCCAAAAAAATAACCTCCACCCACTGCCACCCTGGACAAACCTGGACATGTGGCAGTGAGGGCATTCCAGCAATGCCCCCCTTCCCCCTCCCTGAGGTATGTTGGACCAAATTCCCCGTCCTTGCTCCCAGCAAGGGCAAGCAAACTTCAGGCTTCACCCCATCTAGCAATGTATTCAAGCATCTCTGTCCGCCTCTCTTCCCAGTCCCATGCCCCTGACCTTATAGCTTGTGCTGGACTCACGCGGCTGCTCCCTGGATCAGCCTGGAGACAGCCGAATGATAACCACAGAGGGGGCTCGGAGCAGATACTGCCTTGCACTGAATTCTCCCTCGCCGCCAAACACCTCTGAAGCCGCCGCTCTGCAGAGCACCCCCTTGCTCTGCAGGCAAGAGGAGATCAGCGCATGGAGGAACCTCTCCGCACGCAGGCCTCCATCCAGCCCCTGGCTTTGAAGCAGCGCCACAGCTGCACGGTGAACTCCTGTGGCTCCCCTGTCATGTTCCATTAGCTCTTGATTTAAAGATCCCTAGCTCCATTTGATTTTATAGGCTTGATTCAATTCCCCCGGGAAGGAGCGTTTGCGCAGCTGATGTGGCCTCGGCAGCGTGACGCCACCAAAATCGAATTCCCAAAGCAAACAAGCCAAAACCATTGCTTGCTTTCTTCTTTCCCACCTCAACGTAGCAGGATGAGAAATGTCCCTGGTATTTGGCTCCGTGTGTTTCTATTGCAGGGAAATGACCTGGCCAGCCCCTGACTTCATCTCCAGTCTCGTGACGTTTCGTGGTTTCTTCTTGTGTCTCTGGCTCCGGCAGCAAAGCAACGAGGGGGCAAATCTTGGCTCTTTGTAAGTGAGCGTCTGTCCTTCAGAAGTTAGCTAGGCCAAGACTGGCGTGCATGGGGGTGAGAAGCCAGATAAAAAAAGAACGCTCCTTCCCCCCCGCCCAAAGACTATTTGTGTTTAAATCACATGATTTTTAAATCAAGCGTGTCATTTTGGGCAGGGCTGGCTTGGATCTGAGGCTAGGACCGTGGTGGGGGGAACTATTTTGGGAGTATTTCCACATCCCCTTTCACGTTGTGAGCCTACCACGTGAGCGACAGGCTACTCACTTGTTGGACAGTAACACTGATTATAAATGCAATGGAGAGGGTCAGATTGAAAGTCTTGAAGTACCTGGCTCCTGTCGAATTCAGTCCCTTTGAAACTCTGTGTCTAAGTATCCTGAAGATTTGAATTGTTCAGCCTGGATGAAATATGAATGGCTTAAACATGAATAATTTCATGATGAGAGGAGGTGGCAGGAGTAACCCAAGAGGGAAAATGATGCTGTTTACCCTGAAGTCACTATATAAAAATTGTTTGTCCACCGTCCAGATGGTCTTGAGCCACTTAGGCAAAACACCCACTGAAATCCATCAGTGCATCATTGCTATCAGTTACATTGCCTGTTACGGCAACCGTGGTATCCTGTAAGCTAGTGACAAGCCACACACACAAGGCCTCAGTGGTCGTAAACCTTCTACCTGCTTCTTCCCAGCTAAGTTTGTGTCTGGTGGAGGGGGGAGCAGGAGCTACAGGCTTGATGTCCCTGCATGCAAATAGAGACAGGCAAAAAATGGGAGATGTGGCTCTGCTCACAGTGGCCAGAACAACCCACCCCACAGGAAGGACTGAAGCTGATCTTCTACTTGCAGTGCCAGCCCCTGGAGTCCGGGGATTACACAGAAATCTCACCTTTCATTTGTTTTAAACAAAAAGCAGTTTCCAGCCCTCACGGTTGCAAAGAAGAGCTGGAGGCCAGGATCTGTACACTACCAAACCCATGAGTATATAACAAGAACCCAACTTCTTTGTTTTCTACATCTGCGATCTTGGGCAGCCTGGGTCATTTAGGAATGGAAATACTAAGCAACTGGCACATCCTGCGCCTGGGCACGGAGTTGGATCAGATGACCCCTGAGTCCCTTCCAACACTAGGATGTTACTCCAGCTCCAGAACCAGCAGTGCCTTTCTGACTGTCTAGGCTTATCTGCTCCAATGCTTTTTCAAGCTTTGCTTCCAAGGGAGAACAACTCCCTGGTAGGGATCTGGAATGAGAAGGATCATAATTCAGGAACTAACCTGCTGACAGGACAAGATGGCATAATTGCCACAGCAGCGCTGAACCCAGGCTGCTACCCACCGCCCAAGAGGGCTGGAAACATTAGTTAAGCTAAGCTAACCCCACCACCTTGTTCTCCCATGCCCTTTCCCCTCTCTTGTACCATCAATCCACCTCTTATGTAGCTCCCTGAAAGCATAGTATGAAATACCTGCGGCCTGCAAAAGCCTTTTCAGTTGTTTTTATGTGTTGAACCAATGTTTTACTTGACTTGCACTAATTGCTGTAGAGCAGTATATTGTTAGATTTCTTTGTTTTGATTTATTGATTTGGTTGCAATTCCTGTTGGCTAACGAGATGGCAGTCCTATAAACATATCTGTTGCACATTTTACACCCATGGACAAAATAAAATCTTACCTGAAGCAACCAGTGTCCTCAGTACCCTGAGTGTGGCTGCTCCTGTCTCAGGACCCTCATTGCTCCACTCAGCAGAAGCCAAGGCAAAGCCCCTCTCCTTTCACGCAGTGCCCAGCATTGGCCTCTGGGCATACTGGAAGGGAAGCTCCACTCTCTCTCTCTCTCTCTTCCACTACAGAGCTAAGCAACATCCTCTATCCTGAGCAATAGTAAAGATCAAGTCCCCTGCATGCTCCTAACTTGTTCAGGAGTCTATGTCTACTCAGCAAGGCAGCACTGAACATCTTCTGCAGTGCCTTGGTGAACTGAGGTCCTCCTTGCCTTCACTGCAGTGTGCAGGATCCAAAAAAGGGTGTGGATTGTCATCTGGGAACAGTTGTGGTTGAGGGGACCTGATCATGAGCATCATTCTCCTGCTAATCAGGTACTCAGCTCTGTGCTCCCCTCTGCAGCCCAGCTCTTCCTGCTATTAGGCTTCTGTGCAGCTGTGCTCTCACTAAAGCAGACTCAAGTTGTCTTGCCCTCCCCTCTTCTGCTCTGATGCTCCCAGCACTGCCCCTCTGCTGCCCTTATCGATGCA